CCGGCGCTGGAGAAAGGTACGTGCTGAAGAGGGAGGGGGGCCACAAGGGGGAGGGGGGGAACTAAGGACTATATAGTGCCAGGAAAACAAGTTTGACAAACATTCAGATACACATACAGACAAACAGATACCCATGCAGACCAAGAGATACACATACAGACCCACATACAGGCACACACACACACACACACACATGCAGACACACAGAGAGATACACATACATACATACATACACACACACATACAGACACACACTCATAGTGACAGACCCACATACACACTCACTGACAAACACATATACACTCTCATTAACAAACACATACACACTCACTAACAGACAAGCACACACACACACACACTCACTAACAGACACACACACACTCTCACAAACAGATGCATACATACTAGCTATCAGACACACACATTTACTGACAGACACACTCAGTGACAGACATACATACACACTCAATGACAGACAGACACACATACACACTCACTTACAAAACATACTTTCACTGACAAACACACACTCACTAACAGACACCAAACAGATTCAATAACAGACACACAGTAAATAACAGACACACACTAACAGGACACACACAAACTAAAACACTCAGTAACAGACGCACACACAGTAACACACTCATTGACACACACACACTCACTGACACACAAAAACAAACACACTGACACTCACTAGCATACACACCCTCAATAACAGACACACACTAACTAACACACTCAGTAACAGCCACACACACAGTAACACACTCACTGACACACACACAATAACACACATACACACTCACATTTGTTTTTTAAATTTAATCCCCTACCCTCCCTACCTTTAGGAGTGCTGAGGGGATTCCAGATTTCCCTGGGGTCCAGTGGGGCTGCTGGACAGCCGACCTGTCACTGCAGGCGGCGAGGGAGCACTGATCTTCCTGTTCAGCTACCTCGCGCGCCGCTTACTGATGCCGGAGTGACGTCATATTCCAGCTGACGTCATATTCCGACTGCGGTGCGCGCCAGGGAGCAAGGCATAGAGAGCTCAGGGGAGAATGCTCCCTCGCGCCCGTCCGAAAAGTAACGCCACTGCCAGCCTCTGGGGCCCTGAGGTGGCCAGCTCCTGGCCCCCCCAGGAGAAGATGCTGGCAAACTGCTGCCGTGGCCTTACTGGCGTACATACCCAGGTCACATGGTGGCCAGCCCCCATGAGGGCCGGGCCCGGTTGAAGCTGCAACCCCTGCGACCCCTGCGACCCCTGCGACCCCGGAGTGACCGCCAGTGACTGCACTGATTCTACTAGATGCATCTCGTAATAGGGTATTGTCAAGCCCCCAGAAACCAGAGCCCATGCTAGGGAATTTTTATTTTAGTGATAGGGTAAATGGAGCATGATCTGACCACGGTATTAATACGGTATTGGTGTCCAGTGCTTTGGCCATGAGTGAGATGGGTAGGAGGAACCTATCGATCCTGTTGTATATGTTGTGTATCGTGGAATGTGACATCTTTTTCCATTTGGTGTAATACCCGTCATGCATCTTGGTATCTTATGACTGAGTTTGGTGAATGATGCATCATTTTTCCTATGCGTGGTAACTGAGACTTTGTCTGCAGAAGTAGAGTCAAGTGTTTGGGGAAGGAGCAATTTAGTATCCACTCCTATTATTACTTCACCTAATTCGCATTGAGTTGTAAAAGCAAACATTTTGTCAAGAAAGGAGTGTTGGTTTTTGCGTGAGCCGTATATATTGATAAAAGTTCCTTATTCATGTAACATTGCAAAAACAGGTATCATGCCTGCCCTATCGCCCACCTTTTTGACTAGGGTAAAGAAGGCAGCACTGCTCACTAACAGTGACACACCTCTCTTTTTTAGTTTTGGAACACTAGTGGAAATCATGGGGATATTGTTTTTAATTCAATTTTGGTCTGTAGCCCCATTTAAAATGTTTTTCTTAGCAAAAAAAAGTGTGTGGGCATTGGGTTTCTTTGCTTCTGTAAGTATGTATAAAGTGGAATTATAAGGCAAACATGTGGGTCTTTGTTGAGCTCATATGCATACACCTACCCAGAATCCCTTGCAGTAGTGAGAGCACTGTTAAAGTGAGATTTCTGTGGGAAAAGCAAGTCTTATGGCTTAACAGTTGTGTGTATTTGTGTTTAACAATGTATTAACTATACACTTGAGGTGTAAGGGGTTTTCATCCACACTTTTTTCCCCACCACGACTCTGTTGGTATGTACTTTACAAGTTCAATTGCAAGCCAGTAACCAACCTCATGCTGATGAGTTGCATTTACAACGAAACAGCTGTCCATGAGTGGTTCACTGCCTTTGCTCCTCTTCTTGAGTTGTGTTTCAAAGTTGTTGTATACAGCAGACACGTACTCCAAGTATACCATGTATAAAGTGGCATTATGAGGCAGAAATGTGGTTCTTTATTGAGCTAATTTGCATACGCCTACCCTGAATCCCTTGCAGTAGTGAGAGCACTGTTAAACTGAGATTTCTGTGGGAAAAACAAGTCTTATGCTTGTAGCAGCCAGAAGCTGTTGGACATCCTTTTACATGTAAGCATAATCCTTCAAATACATTGTGTTTTTAAAACGTTTCTGCCAATGGTGTCTGTCCTCCTCCTCCTATAGAAATTCAAGAAAAAAGCTTCAATAAGAGTTGGATTCAAGAGCCTGAGGCGCAAACCTAACTGCATCGCAGAGACAGAAAACCAGTGACCACTATCAAGGTCGTCTTGTGTAGAGTTGAGCGGACACCTAGATGTTCGGGTCCGGCGGGTCTGGGTTCGGGATCAAACTTGACCCCGAACCCCTTTGAAGTCAATGGGAACCTGAACTTTTGAGGAACAAAAATGGCTCTAAAAAAGTCCTGGAAAGGACAAGAGAGCTGCAAAAGGAAGTAAAATTGGGGTAAGAGTAGGACAAGTGCCCTGCAAACAAATGTGGATAGGGAAATCACTTAAAATAACATAAAATACATGAAATAAACAGCCACTTAGTAGATAACTCCCTAATTCCCACGGTATTAGGGAGCTATCTACCAAAAGGCTGAGAGACCTAAATTGGTCTTTCAGCCAAATTTACTAATACTAAGTAAAGATATTTAGTATTAGTAAATTCAGCCCCTACTTGCTATACTGCGAGTAGGGGCGTGTCTAGTAAACAGTGAGCAGCCAGTGGCTGCCCCCACCCCTATGTGACGGGTGGTGGCCCTAAATAAGAATGTGGAGGGGAGACCTACTGTCCTCCCCCCTGCCCCCGAGCGGTGGGTAGGGCCCTAAATAACAATAAGGGGGGGCTACTGTCCTCCCCCCGGCCCCCACCCATGAGCGGTGGGTGGGGCCCTAAATAACAATAAGGGGGGGACCTACTGTCCTTCCCCCCCTGCTCACACCCCTGAGCGGTGGGTGGGGGTCATAAATAAGAATTTGGGGGGGTGAACCTACTGTCCTCCCCCCCGGCCCCCACCGCTGCGCTGCGGGTGGGGTCCCTGAATAACAATAAGGGGGGACCTACTGTCCTCCCCCCCCGGCCCCACCCCTGAGCAGTGGGTGGGGGCCATAAATAAAAATTGGGCGGGACCTAATGTCCTCCCCCCAGGCCCCCACCCCTGCACGGCGGGTGGGGGCCCTAAATAACAATAAGGGGGGGACACCTTCTGTCCTCCCCCTGGCCCCCACCCCTGAGCGGCAAATGGGGGCCCTAAATAAAAATGTACCCCCCCAGGTGACTAGGGGTCCCTGGAAGGGAGAGTTGTAAGCCAAAATAATATGGGAAACACTTAGTGTATCTTTATATAATACAATAATATGTTTCAGCTCTGCAGGGCAATTCCCCCATCATTGGTAGCTGTTAAGAGAAGCCTACTCTTGAGATCATCTAGGTATGTCGAAAAAATAGGTTAGGTTTGAAATCTGCCCTGTTTCAGCAGATTTTGCACATCCCTAGTGACCTTTAAGAAGGAATTTCAGAAATGTCTATTGAGCTGCCATTTCGACAGTTCAAACTGCTGCAGTGCCTGCTCCATATATAACACCCTAGGTTCGAAACAAAAAATATGGACACACCTACTTATCTGCCAACCATACAGGTACTGGTAATCCGCAAAATCAAATAGAGGATAAAAGGGTTATTAGTGAAAAAATAAGCACAAATGTCAGCACACTTCGGCATTCTTGGTATATGAATATAATATGTATTTCATGAATGCTTTTTTGTTTATTCTTTATTTTTCAAAGTGCAGAGTTAATTACACAAGGCAAAATTGGTGAATGACATAACGTGTTATACATGTAAATAACAAGATATGCTGCACTTTTTTTTGTAGTATAAAAGGTAACAAGATTGAGTAACATTAACATATGCTAAAAAAGCATATAACAGGACATTCGATTTAAGCTTACAAGTATTGTCAGATATGCATAAATAAGGTGGATAATCTGGTACATGCTTAATTGACTGAAACAGCAATATTGGTGTTAAGTAAAAGATGGGTCTCGCATTCTCGATTAATATGTAAAGCAGGCTGTGCACACCGACTATATGGTGGGTCACATGTATTTGGTACCACTGTAGTATGCAAGAAGGTTAATTAAGGGCATTGTGCCCATGAGGAGCACCTAGGCAGCATCAGCTAGATTAATGCCATAGAGTGGGGCATGATGGAAAAACAACTATGCACACAACGAGAACAATAAGCTTGATGTTCAAAAACAGAAAGTAGTCAAAAAGGGGGGGGGGGTGCGGGGACAAGAACACTGCTCCATATGAGTCTAGAGACCTAAGGACAGTGGAACCCTATATTGAGGGGGATCATCTTCCTATGCCCATACAGCCTACCCCGTGGTATGATTAAAGAAGCATTAACATTTTAATCTATTGTAGTTTGTAGGTAATCTAAACAATTACTAGTGTCTTATGAGTACTTATGAGTGTGTCTGTGGCTTCATGGTAGGGCTAGGTGCCGCCCAATGTTCAGTGTCCGAACTTGTCTCCCACATAGTCCTCCTTGCTCATCCGATGCCGGCTCTGGGGGCTTGCCAGGTGCACTGGGAGTAGAGGTAGGGAGAACCGCTCTGCAGGATTCCAGTTCTGACGAGCCATGAGGGTGTTCTCCGTCTGTGTCTCGCCATTGAGTCCAGCTGTGCCTGAATGTGAAGGTACTCTGCAGGATGAACGCGGTGGGGTCTGGTGTTCAGGACCCATTGTGAGCTCCTCGTTGCTGTTCTGGGACTGTGTTTAAAGGGGTGCAGGCTCAGATGCTGGGAGGTGTGTTTGGTTCGGGTCAGCTTGTACTTGCGTGAGGTGATGATCCCTTCAGGGCATCTCAGCGTGAGCCTGCTTACTATGAATCGCTTATGATGGCGCCATTTATGTGTTATCTTTTCTCTGCAGGATGTGCCGTGATGGCAGGAGCATGTGAGCAGCGGCGGCGGTGCGTACTCCTCTTGGGCTTGTGTCATGGCTTGGCGTTCAAGTTTTCTCCAGAAGGCTGCAAATATGGCATTTAGCTGTGCCAGAGTGTCATGCCCCTTTACTGTGTCCGGTGTTCCAGTGGCTATAACCGCCTTTTTAGGGTTTGCGACTTCCTTCTGATGTTGCTGTCCAGCAACCCGGGTGGGCACTCCTGGGACCGGTATAACCCCCGCCGGTCCATGGGGGGGGGAACGGAGGCTCAAGGACCTGTTTTCAGGCGTAGCTGGCTGCAGGGGAACGGCCGTCTCCCCCATGCAGCCCATGCTTGTAGGCTGCAGGTGTCTCGCCATTAAGTCTTGCCAGTTGGGCTACTTATTTGGGGTCTTCATGTGCCCCTCGGTTTCACCTCTCCTTTAGTGACACTTTGGAGTCGGTTGAGCGCCGTTCGTGGCAGATATACCACAATTTTGTCTATTTAGAGCAGGAGTAGCTCTACCCTGCAATCGCTCAGCTCAGCGGTCAGGCTCTGCCCCCAATGCTTTTGCTTTTGCCATTTCGATAGGAACATTATAGAAAGTTCTTTTCTTTTTTTTCACAATTTTTGGTTTTCTTTACTTATATCCATTACTTACTCCATTATATGTCCAAATGTTAATTTCCTATAAAGCAATACCTATGGAACTGAGACACCTAGTGACCATTTAATGATAACACAGTGACAGTTAATAGTTTCTGTTCCTGGGATATAGTGACCCCTTTTGACTATTTTAGGGCACTACAGAAAGGGCTCTAGGATAGTAATAAATGCATTTGGCAACTCTAATATGTTTAGTTGATATTGTGTAACAGGGAAACAACATATTCTCTCATCCTGTTCATTTGTTAAGGGTGATTGGATTAGAAACACACTTTCTTTAAATACATTTTCTTAATACGTTTTAGTAAAGAAGGAATAAAAGTTATGTTTTATTTATTAACAGATCCACAATCATTTCTTCTTGCCTATAAATCGGTCACACTTCTTTTTTTACTTTTGTGAAATGACCTCTAATTCCAGGATGAGTTCCAGGCAATCGTTTGCTTTCTCTATAAATGTTACATATTGCTAGACATTAAGAAAAAGAGGACTGGAATGTGTGCATTAAGCTAACCAAGGGACAGGAAATAAGGCACATCGAGGGAAATTTGAGGGGAGTAAAGTTAGTAACAGGACTGGTGAGGGTCTAAAAGTACCAGCAGAGCATTGAGACCCCTAGAAATAAAAAACAAAATAACAAAATCCCTGGTGAGATTTATCAAAGTCCTGTGACCTGAAATGTCTTCTAAAGTTGGACAAATCGAGTGATCAGTAATTACATGTATCTGTGAATTGAACTTTTAGAAATTTGCATGAATTTTCAGAAAAAAAGACTTTGATACATTTCCGGCTACGATACCATGGAAGGCGATAACAGGAAAAATATAAAATAGGTGTCCAAAAACCCTCGATGTCCATAACTAGCTGAAACCTATTCAAGAGTAATCCCAAAGACAAGACATAGTACAAAGTGAATCAGTGACTGGTGCGAACAGAAAACCAGAAGTTATCCCCACCACCACTTATTATGACCTCCATCTCGCAGAAGTCCATTCGTGGTTTTCTGGATCCAGCCTATTTTGTTCTTTATTCTATAAGCCAGTGGGAGGAGGAGCACTGGACACAATGAGTAAAGTATGGGGATATTTTTTACAAACTGCAAAAGCAATGTATTGATTTGGACATCTGCAAGATATAGCTATTTACTCGATCTTGGCATAATACCCACATTCATACATTATGTTTATACTTCTTTGGCATATGTAGAAAGTGGACTCCAAACTCTACTGAATTGAAATCTGAATGGCAAAATGCAAGCTTTTTCAGATCTCTGACATTCTTTGCAGACTTTGGAGAATCTGTCTCTCTTCATCAAATCACCTATTTTAGCCTAAATGTTTCCTGTCAGATATCAATTTGCTACAAATTGTAGAATATGTCAATACGCCCTACTGTATCCATTTATGGTACACTAATAATGCTGTAAGAATATATTCCAGAAAAGGCCATTAAGGGTCAGTATAAACTAAAAATGTAGCCCATTGGAATCCATGTGATAGAATGTGGCGTTAAAAAGTAGGAGCACTGAAAAAGTAATAAAAGAAAAAAAAAGTACAAACAAGTTCTGAATATACACAATGCTTTTATATGTAAATCTTGGGAATAATGGCTAGGTTTGTACACCTCCAAAATAATCTTACCTATGTCTAGTATATCACATACACACCGAGCAAACATGATTCAGGTAGAGTTGTGCATTCGGGTTAAAACAAATTGCGATTCACCCAATGATGTAGTTCCGAATCGCTGTTTGACCGAGGACTGAACACGCCGTTTTGACTGCTTTGTGATTTTAAGTTCTACCTTTGTTGATGATTGATGACTAGGGGACTGATACTGACAGGTGAGAAAAGGAGGAAAAATCGATATTTACACATCACACATTTAATAAATATATGATATGGGCATTTTGTTTTTTTTTACTGTTTCTTATTTTTCCCCTCTGCTGGTTACTTCTTGTATTTTTGTTTTATCTTTTTAATATTTTTTTAATATTTTTTTCCCAAACGATTGCATGGCCGGAATTCATCCAAACCAATCACCACATGGATGGAACTTGAAACTCCTGTAACACGTTTCTATTCCCTGACAAATCGATTTGGAAGAACTGACTTGTTTCACTGTGCACTGGTTTATATTCGGGTCTATACTAAGGGGATCTATAAAGCCTCTTATTAAAATATACCTCCAATGCACAGCCACCTATAGACACAGTACAGACTGTGAAGGGTCATTCTAAGCCCCTCTTATGATACATGCTCAGTGTCTCTCCAGTACACAGCCACCTATAGATCATTCAGCAGTGACTGTAAAGGGTTAATCTAAGTTCCCATTGTGGTATATATAGTGCACTTACGGGGCACTTAGAGGGGTACACAGACAGCAACAATACTGAGACAAGAATATATTTTTCAAACCCTAACCACCAGTGTGAACTGCAAGGTGGGATGTATTCATGGTGTTTATGCCAAAGTCAGACCTTGCCATCTCCTTGTTGTTAAACCACGGCTTTGTACTGCCCTCTTCATTGTAAACTCTACTGAGTGTTAAAATCCCAGGAGATCAGCTGTTTAAGAGATATTCAGACCATCGTTTGACACCAACAATCACTCAATGGTCATACTCCCATAGATTATATTCTGAAATGTGGTTTGTACAAGTCTTGCCGCGTCTGCATGCTTTAATGCACTGAGCTGCCACCACATGGCTGATTAGATATATGTCAATGAGCAAACTGTATCCTGTCTCAGTGGCTGTATTTTATATATTCTATTTGAATATCTATATTATAATATCACAGGATTATTTATCTGATTACAGCCCTAATATCCCACTGACAGTCCCGAGCTGTATTGTTGACAATTTAGTAACTTGCTGTTCATTTATTTTAAGAGATGTTTAAGTACCGTTTAAATCCATTAAATTCCTTATATGAATTGTTTTGTTCCTAGTAGAAATGGATATTTATGCTGTTTATTTCTTACCATGTTTGGCTGCCTTCCATTAACTTCATTATTCAGATAACCATAAAATATTGCATGTACTTGCTAACTGTCCCGAGATTCAGTTGACAGTCCCAGGTTTCAGCTCTGCCATTGGCCTTCATTTAATAATCTTTCCAAATGACTCAATACTGTAAGAAAACTTCAAATGATTTATCTACAGATATTTTCATTAAGGTCTAAGGGAATTTTTGTAAATAAACCAATTGGAAAGTTTTCTCTAACAGTATTGAATAATTTGGACAATTTATTAAATCAAGGCCTATGCGTGTTCATCAGCTTGCCAGAAAAACTGTCTAAAATAGTTAAATGAGTACAAAATATTTGTTTATCAATAATGGTTACTGACCGTGTCCTTATTCTAACCTACGAATTGTTAAACGTGGGTCCTGATTAACTGACCAATGATACATTTTCTTGTAAAACAGTCTAAGAAATTAATTATGCCTTGTCCATATATCCATCACTGGTAAACAATAATGATTAAATGGTCTCCTCTTCCTTAGACGGAGTGGGGGTGTAATCCGTTCTTTAGATTACCAGAGTGTGCAGAATGAGAACAACCTTGAGTAAAGTAGCTAAAGTAGTAATTATACACGTTCTGTTTTCTATTTCTTTATAGAATATATAATTGAAGGGAGAATTTATTATGATCTAAAACATCATTAAAGCTTGATCAATCTCCATGGAAACTGATGGAATGAAATCAGTTGGCACATTCTCTTGGTGAGTTCTTGACCTTCCGAGTAAGCACCAGGTTTCAGATCTCAGCCGTCTGATAAATCTCTAAACCTGAGTCAGAATTAAAACACAGAAGCGAACTGTTTTCCATGAAGTATAGATAAAGCATGAACCCCCACCAACCTCTGGAGTCACTTCGAAGAACTCCATCTCTGGAACATAGTCCTAGATCCATGACACATAGGCCGGTACTAGAGTGTACACCCCTGGGCTGTTAGGCAAAGCACATCCTACCCCCCAGCTGACAATCCCAGCCTGGACCCACATACCATCAACTTTACACACCAGGGAACCCCCCAAATCTCCCTAAAAAAAAAGCATTTGTAAGCAGATTTATCTATTTTGCAACTTATGATGTTTGTGTTAAAAACATTTTTAAATAATGTAATATTTTATTATAAAAGTTTCATATTTAATTTCAATTGCCTTTGATCAAAACAAAGAAATCCAATCGGGGTGTGTTTTTCCTTATCCATGGACATGTTTTTTTGCCTTTATGACATCTACGCACACTCTACTTTACACACACACACACACACACACACACACTTTGACATCTACCTTACATGGCCGCTCTTCACCATTTCACACGCAATCCTTTATTTTCAATAACAATAAAAAATAACCATCAATTTATTTATTGTACACAATGCATATTTATACAAAATAAAGATAGCAATTGATGGCTAATATTGTACTAATGTTTACCTGTATTATATGAAAGACACTAATATAATAAATCTTAACAATGACAAAGATATAAACCTTTCAACCATTTCATGCACCAGCCTATTGCTCTGCTCTCCACCTACCGCTGAACTACAAGGCCCATGGTTCTCGAAATATGTTGATAGATTGCAACATGTAAGTGGTGTTTCTCATACAGAGCTGGTGGTTGCTTTATCCTGTGTTAATGAATAATTAGCTCTTTTGAGATTCATAGTTTATATATTTAATTGGTGAAATCTAGTGACCCACCTGGCAGGAGTCCTTCCCTCCCTCCGTGTACCCAGCACATATATGTTCCTTGCGGATGAAGGTGATTTGAATGCCGGTTGAGGAACCAATGTGGTACATTGTGTCACATCTCTCATGGTCTATCAGGGACAGTTTTACTTTCTGGAGGGTTTTAGGAAATGGAAGATTTACTCTGGATTGAATGAAAGATGAATCATACACTCAGAGACTAGAACAAGCATATTCTGTTACCCCTTTCCTTTCTCTTGACTGTGATAAGAGACTTGAACAGGTGGGTCTACATATTCGCTAACAGTGGAGAGATTATCTGCAAGGTAGCTGAGCTCAGTAGATAGGATCCAGCTGTAGTGTCTCAAAGTTACATTTTCGATACCCAGTAAAGTCCTCTCATACACTCAAGGTTAATAAGATGCTTATTAAGTTAGGTGACAGCAACATCACGTCCCCAGAAAGTAATTAGAAACTCACAACAAGCTAAATGTACATTTTATGGTTAAATATATAGACATAATTATTTCCACCTCCTGCTGTTATTATTTGTGTGATGAAATTAACAAGATTTATTGGTGGGTAGTTGGGCTATGAAAGTTTTAACTTGCCACACTTTATGCACAAATCATATTAGAGGGTCGTAAGCCCTCTATCACTAATATAACGCTTCTTGTCATCACTGTAATGGACCACAAAATGATCAGTGTTCTGGTTCCAAGTTTAAATGTCCCTGCAATGGCCATGGGCCCAAGTCTTTAATCACTTTCCATCTTATACCACTTCCATATATCATAGACAAACATTTTGCTACTCATCCCACATGAATCGTTTTAAAAATAACTTTTGATGCATTGATTGATGTTTTCATATTTTGCCCAAATAAAAACCTACAACTAACATAAAATAATGTCAAGTAGCCAAAGGGTCTAACAATAGAGAGCTTCCTATGCATCAGGGTAATATCTACACTCAGACAGCCCCTCTCAGAAACATGTTTGGTTATTTTATAAAGCACTTTGCTGCTTTGGTCACATTTTTGCATAGTTACATAGGCTGAAAAGAAATGTCCATTATGTTCAGCCTTTCTCACATCAGGTTTTGCTGTTGATCCAAAAGAAGGCAAAAATAGCAGGTTCCTTCTCAACCCCAGACTGAAGCCAGATCTCTCCTTTTGTTATTATTTATATTAAGGGGACCAGGGTGGCCAGATGGCGGTTTTAGCCCTGTAGGATCAGGAATACATGTTTGTGTTCCTGACCCTATAGTGCTCCTTTAACAGTCTCTTTCCAGGATTATGATTGGATAGTTCTTACTGAATCATAGGATCTGCTCTGTGCTACCTCACTGCTGACATGCTGAAACACTCAATTAAGCATGTGCAATCTGTTTTGTTCCAAATCAAAATTCTGATGCAATTTGACCAAATTCAGCAATTTCAAACTAAATGAATTTCCAAATAAAAAAAAAGAATTCAAAAGAAAAATGAACTAATTGTAAATTAACCAAAACAAATTTTTCATATCCATTTGATTTGATAAGGATATCAAGGCGTTGATTTAATTATGACCTAGATTTCATATTTTTGTATAACCTTTAAAAATTAAATAGTATTTTTGGATAAACTTTTAAAATGATTTAACATTCTGAAAAATGCTTCAGTTTTGTAATAATATGTTTTTTTATACAACGTTATGCTTTCTATTCATGGTATATGTTTTGATATATTAGTATATTGAAAAAAATTATTTTAAAAGTTTATCCAAAAACATAAATAATTTGGAAGTTATCCGCCCATATATGAAATCAAAGCCATTGACCTCTATAGTATTAGCCTCGATTTAATATTGTTGGCTTCCTTCTCTCCCCTCAATGTACCTTCCAATCTATCCTCCCTGCCCTTGCCCTATCTTTTAGTTCCTTTGAAGTTCACACTGTCTGTCTATTTAAACCCACTCCTCTAAGAATTGCCACCATGTATCGCCCCTCCAGTCATCCTAGGCTATTCATTTAACACTTTTCTTCCTGGCTACCCCATTTCCTCTCTTCTTGCTCTCTTTCCCTCATTCTTGGGGACTTTAATATCCCAATCAACAACCCTAACTGCCCTGATGCCTCTTGTTTGCTCTCTATAACCTCCTTCGTTGGACTCATACAGTGGTCTAATTCATCAACTCAGGAAATACTCCTGACCTCATCTTTACCAATCTCTATACCACCTCTAATCTCTCCAATGCTCTATTTCCTCCATCTGACCACCATGTGTTGTCCATTGACATCTGCATACCCCTTACCCAAAGTTCACCACCCTCACCACATCAGTCTTGCAGAAAACTCCATTGTCTTGACCTGCAGTGATTATCCACCAACCTTCAAAGTCTCGTTTCACCAATCTTAAATCTCACCTGCCCTAACATTACGACCTCCCTCTACAACTCCACTCTCTCCTCTCAACTAGACATCATGGCACCTCCTACGCTTAAATACACAATATAATTGGTGTCCCCCAATTACAACCCTGGCACACCACGCTGACCCGATACCTCAAAAAAGTTTCCAGAACTGCTGAATGCTGCTGGAGAAAGTCTCATTCTGTCTGACTTCCTCCACTATAAATTTATACTTTGCTCTTACAGTCTGGTTCTTTCTTCTTCAAAAGAAAACTACTTTAATACACACATAACCACACTTTCCCACAAGCCTAAACTACTGTTTCATGTTTTTCACTCTCTTCTTCATCCTGTTGTGCCTCCTCTTCCTACAAACTTGACCACCACAGACTTTGCAACTCACTTCACTGAGAACATTTTTACAATCAGGGAAGAGATCTCTCATCTCTCTCCATCCACTACCAACGTTTCCCCTAACCACACTCCCTCAGCTGTCCTATGATCATTTGCACCAACTACAGTAGAAGATGTTTCTGCTATGGCCCAGTCCTCCCACCCCACCACCTGTTCCCTTAATCCTATTCCCTTGTACAGTGGCGTACACAAAACCCATGGGGT